ATTTTTAACCTCGATACAATACCTTAAAAATATTGATATTCGATACCATTTTCAAACTACAAATGTAAAAAAAAACACAACAGTATACATTACAAATTTTGGTCTCACTTTACAATAAGGTTCATTAGTTAATGTTAATTGATGCATTTACTAACATGAACAAACAATGAACAATACATTTACTACTGTATTTGTTCATGTTAGTTAACGTTATATTTAAAATATTTAAAAGTAAACCAAAATCAGTGGAGTCCTATATAATCATATCTTATTTATTAATTAAATTAGTAAATTGGAAATTAGTTTATTATTAACTCATAATAACAAAGATTTATAAATACTTTTTATTTCTATTGCATAATTCTCATTAATTGTAGATAATGTGGTCACTTATGCAATAAACATATATATATTTTTGCATTTATTTTACATCTATGCACATACAAGCTATGCTAAACACTTGCATTTCCCTGTTTACCATAATGCTGTTTGTGTGCGTTGACCTGCTCGCTGAAACATTCATTTTCCTTCAGCTTGGTTCGTTATTTATTAGGGGTCGCCAAAGTGGAATGAGCTGCTAACTATTCTGGCTAGTTGGCTACCACCAACTCTGTTTTACACAGCGGATGCCCTTCCAGCTGCAACCCAGTACTGGGAAACACCCATACACTCTGACATTCACACACATACACTAAAAACTATTTTATTTACCCAATTCACCTATACCACATGTCTTTGAACTGTGGGGTAAACCGGAGCCCTCAGAGGAAACCCATGCGAACATAGGGAGAACATGCAAACTCAACACAGAAATGTCAACTGGCCCAACCGGGATTCATACCAGGGATCTTTTTGCTGTAAGGTGACAGTGCTAACTACTGAGCCACCATGCCGCTTCACCGAAACATATTGAGAGTATGTTACTGAACTTTCAGTGTTTTAAACTACCATTTAGCACAACCATACTCAAGTCAATGTATGTTTTTACCTGTTTTTGGCATTTCGTTTGTTTGTTGTTTGTCTAAAACTCTGATTACCCTGAGGGAGATTACAAAACTCATATCAACACTTTACTTGGTTGTCTTGTTTAATGCATCATTGATCCTGTAATGTGAGCAGTTACCAATCTTTCAAAACTGGTCTACGTGTCAGTCTTTCAGGTGCTTTCGCTAAACCTGTTGCATCAACGCATTTAGTTAACAATGAACTGTAGCAACGCCTGCATTTTGGCCTCTCTGTGGCCCTAGGCTTTCCTTGTTAAGTTTTCCTTGACCAAATCTGGTCGTATAGGGGTTCTGCACTTGTCATTGGATGCCAGGGAGATGGGGCTGTGCAGGAAGTGACCTAACATGAGAAGAGAGAAAGAGTGAGAGAACAATGTCTGTATTACTAATCAAAAGAAAAATCATATTTTTAAATATTTCAGTATCAATAAACACTCACTGGACACTTTATTAGGCACACCTTACTAGTACCGGGTTGCAGGTCTTGACATTAACTTTTTTGTTAATCAGCCACTGTGGCTAGTAGTTTTCCAACATTGCTATCCACTTGCCATTTCACTTGCCACAATTTTATTGTTGGGAAATTATATTTTATACACATAAATATGACTTTGACATGCTAAAATTACCAGATTTAGATTTTGCGTTATCTCCACATGCCTCCTTATTTTACTTTTTGTGTGTCGTGTATGAGCTTGCTCAATAATCATGAGCTAATAGGTCATGGTTTCATAGTATTACAATTAGTTGATTATAATAATTTAACTAGTTTATTATTAAAATAGTCACGAAGCTCAAAATGAAGGATTTACCAAATTTATCTCTGACCACATCAAACATAAACAATTAGTTATTTCTTAGCAACAAATTTTAAATGTGTCAAAACAAGCTAAATATAGTACACTATACCTTTTATTTAACAAAACATATGCACAGTAATCTGTCCTGGCTAAAAGTCCCAGATCACCACCAGTTAGCCTAACTACACATAAATGAGAAGTTACTCTCCCATTAAAGCAATGTTATTGTAAAAAATGATAATTAAATCATCTTAACGCAAAAGAAAGCAGGTAAAAAAACATACCGTGTAATAATGAAAGGATGATCACACACACACGGTTAACATTAGACCCATAAATAATCTGTTCATAAAATAGTTAAAGCAACTAGTGCTGCTTACAAAAAGACAAATCTGGAATTCTTGAAAGCAGCAAGACTGTGGGTGAATGTTCATCACTTTTTGTCTAGTCTATTTAAAATAGAACCGATCACGTTAGTTATGTTTCTAGACACAGTTGCTTCACGCAAGGAAACAGGAGCGCGCGCGCGTTTTAAACAGCCACAGTCTCATTCGGTGATCACCTGCTTTCTATTGCTCGCGCAAACACAATTATTTTTTGTCAGTTGTGCTGCTTGTCAATTCTAAGATCGCCTTGGACCATCCTTATTGTCGAACCCTTCTTTTAAGAATTATTATCCAGGAAAATTATTTTGAACCAGCCAAAGCGGCTTGTGGGAGTGTCTGTCTTACCGCTGAAACTTACCCGCATTTGTTGGGTTGGCGGATGTTAATGTCAAGCCCTGCCGGGTTGGACCTCCTTTTGTCTTCAGAACTGCCTTAATCCTTCGTGGCATAGATTCAACAAGTTACTGGAAATATTCCTGAGATTTTGGTCCATATTGACATGATAGCATCACACAGTTTCTGCAGATTTGTGAGCTGCACATCCATAATGCGAATCTCCCATTCCACCACATCCCAAAGGTGCTCTATTGGATTGAGACTGGTGACTGTGGAGGCCATTTGAGTACAGTGTCATGTTCAAGAAACAGGTCTGAGATGATTCACGCTCAATTGGTACCAATGAGTCCAAAGTGTGCCAAGAATATATCCCCCACACCATTACACCACCATCAATCTGAACCATTGATACAAGGCTGGATGGATCCATGCTTTCATGTTGTTGATGCCAAATTCTTACCTTACCATCCGAATGTCGCAGCAGAAAGCGAGACTCATCAGACCAGGCCATGTTTTTCTGATCTTCTATTGTCCAATTTTGGTGAGCCTGTGCGAATTGTAGCCTCAGTTTCCTGCTCTTAACTGACAGGAGTGGTACCCGGTCTGATTAAACATTTGCTTTAACAAACAGTTGGACAGGTGTACCTAATAAAGTGGTCGGTGAGTATGTATATCGAAACATTAATATTTTTGACCGCACTATGAAAAAAATTGTTACAGGATCTTTGAAGTCCATCACAGCAGTGTGCGTCAGATTCCCCAATGCCCAATGCTCCGTTTCCCTTCAGGTCAGAGTTCACCACTGGATTGACATGTCGAGTCTTGTGCGACACACAAGTTTGTCCCCTTTTCTGTCTGTCTGGCTCTGTCATCACAAATAGGCACGTCTTATGACAGAGGGGAGTGCGGAGCATCTATAAATAAATCGATCAGATGGAGAGCGAGGGGTAAAAATAGAGAAACGAGAAATGGGGTAGAGAAGCATAATTTAATGAGAATCCGAAAGAAGAAATGGTACCAAGCGAGCCAGCAAATAGACAGTGCTGTAAGTCAGAGAAAGGTCAGGATCTATTTACATAACCTTATGCTTTCATTCAGAATGGTTAAGCAGTGGAGAATCAAGAATATGTTGAATAAAACTCAATCGTGTTTAATTGTGAAAACATCATCTTGTTTGGTATTCAGCTTGTAGAAAGCCATCTGACTGAGTGCTGTTCGCTGCTGTCTGGCCCTGTCAGGCTCCTCTGCCCAGTCACTGGGAGCTCATCAATAACCTTTAATAGACCACAGGCACAAAATGCTCTGTGGGTGTGTGTCTGTACAGTATTAGTACATAATAGCCATCTCTGTGTGCGTGTGTGTGTGTGTGTTTGAGCTGGCGTTATTAATAGGGTCGGTCTCTATGTGGTGACAGGCTAAAGCATGCGCCTATGTGCAAATTTGTTTCCCGTGCGTTTTTTTGTGCACGTCCTGAGATGGATGACATGTGCACGGGTTATTCCTCTCTGGATTTGAGCCCATCTGTCGCCCCACCCTAAACATTTTCCCCATTGACTAACCCACCGGCGCTCTGTCTCATTATGTTGGCTTTGAAATAGATCTGGCTCTATGGATCTTGCCGTCTCACTCTCTATCTGTGCTTCTCACCTCTGCGTCCCCTCGCGCCGATGCTGAGATATCAGTACTGTTTGTTCTATAATGCCCGTATTGTTAACCTGTTGCCAGTGTTGTAGCGTCTGCAGATTCCCCAGTGGCTTGTTTGCAGCTATAGCCCAAGTCTTTCCTTTTCAAGGCTATCAGAACAGCAGTCCAATAAAGGAAAGGGAGAGAGAGGAGAGAAAATAGCCTGTTCTCTTTCATCTCGCTTATCAGCAGACAGAGACGGAGACCTTGAAGTGCCTCAATAGGCAGTAATTATTTATGTGTATTAGTTATACAAGCTATTACACTCAACCTCGGTAAACGTCATGCAGTTTCTATAAGGGACTTATTTAATACACATCCTGTCTGTGTTTGTATTGAACAGCTAAATGGGAGTGTTGGTTTTTGTGGCTGTGTGTTCCTAGAAATGTAGGATTTGTTTCTCCAGAGTGTTCATGCTTTGCAAGAGCACACACACATGGTGAAAATGTAATAAATGTTTGAATTTCGTCCATATTTAACAATATCACATAATTTTTTCTCTAAAAAAAATATTTGAAGCAATGCTTGTATTATGAAATAACCTCATTTGAAGAGAACACCAAATCAAAATCCCATCTTTGGCTAATACCATGCATACACTAAAAATAAAATTGATCTAAATATCAATAATGTAATGGCAGAGCTGTACTTTGTTTTGTTATGTTAGTGTTTACATTATGAAGAAAGATTGAACTGGCTAGTGGCTACACTTTGCTGATGTTTGTTTTTTTATCCTTTGTTTCCTGTCTCTTTCACATGTTCTGATTTTTTATTTCTCATTATCATTGTAGATTTGGAAACGGATGACAACACATCATTTTACATCCTCAACGTGGGCCAACCCCCTTCACTGGTGAACCAATCGCATGGTATCCAGCGTCATGGAGGCCCGCCCCCGTCTCAGTTCATCAGCTCCTCCCCTTCACTGCAGGCCCTCCACAAAATCTACGAGCCCAGCTATGAGCCTCAGGACTCTAAATACACACCCACAGGAGTGGGCGGAGGAGGGAACGGGCCACCAAAAGCCTTTGAATGTCCCAGCATCCAGATCACCTCCATCTCTCCAAGCTGCCAGCAGGAGATGGAGGCCAGCGAGGATGAGATGCGATCGAAGGGTCCGGATGGAGATTACCATGACAGACCTCTGTCTCGGGACCATCTGTACCTCCCACTAGATCACTCTTATCGAGATTCGTCCCTGAGCCCGAGCCCATGTAGCAGCCTTTCCTCTCGTAGCTGGTTTTCAGATGCCTCGTCCTGTGAATCCATCTCTCATGTGTATGATGACGTGGATTCAGAACTGAATGAAGCAGCAGCACGTTTCACCCTGGGCTCACCGCTCACCTCACCCGGCTGCTCTCCACAAACTGGCACACAGGAGGAAGTTTGGCAGCAGCAGCACCATCATCATCACCCAGCCTTCGCTCACTCCCTTTCTCATTCGCACGGTCATTCTTTGTCACCTCGTCAGTCGCCCTGCCACTCGCCCCGCACCAGCGTCACCGATGAGAACTGGCTGAGCCCTCGCTCCCCTTCACGGCCCTCTTCTCGCCCAACATCGCCCTGTGGGAAGAGACGCCACTCCAGTGCTGATATTTGCTACCTGGGCTCTTTATCACCCCATCACTCCCCAACAGCCACTCCAGGCCCTTCACCCAGGGGCAGCGTGACTGAGGACACGTGGATAGGTAGCCCGTCCATGGGCGTATCTCCTTTCCAATGTTGCCCCTCTGAAGCTGACATCCCCTCCAAAACAAGGAAGACGTCCCAGGACTGTACAGCAGCAATTCAGCCTGGGAAAGGTGACCTGAGCATGGATGATTCTGGGAATGGGTCTCCTTTGCTTGACTCGCCTGCTGAGGACTCCATGCATGGATTAAAGAAAGATGGTTCTGGAGAGCAGTTTCTTTCTGTCCCATCTCACTTCACATGGAACAAACCCAAACCAGGACACACTCCTATTTTCAGGTAAGCCCCTGCTCTGATTTGAAGAAACACAAGAGTAAAGGTTATTGAGTTTGAGTTAAGCTCTTCTTTTGTTACAGTTGCTCATGTTTGTAGAGCACAGGGCTTCCTATAGGTTTGATGTATACTTTCCTTGGTTGCCGAATTGAAACACCATTTAACCACATCACATAAAAAGTTATCTATATGTGACAAACAAAACCTAATTAAATTTAAACAATATGTTTATTTATTATGTAATAAAATAAAATCAACAAATTAATAAAATAATTAGCAAATGAAAAATAAATGACAGAAAAGGGAATAAAAACAGACAATATCTCTAAAAGTTATAATAATTATAAGATTAAAACATGCCGAATATTTTAGGCAAACCAACTGATTGACTAATGGTGTACATATATTTTGCAGCCAGATTAGACAAGTCATTTTATTTGGTGCGGTTGATGGCTAAGGGGTGTCGTGGACAAGCGGGGTGAGGGTATTGCTGATGATAGTGAAGAGGGTTGGGGAGTCGCTGAAGAAAGTGAAAGTAGACAGTGGATAGGGCAGGGGGGCGGTTGCCGAGATGGATCGGTAAAATGAGCTGCCGGATCAGATTTCAAAAGTTCCAGATCCGGCGTGTTCCGGCACAAATTAAGCCCTGGGTCTCGCACACACAGAATGAAATGGGTAAACGAGAATTTCCACTACTTTATCGTTTGCAGATGTTTGATTATATTGAGCGGATACAAAAAAGTATAAAAGAATGTTGATAATTGTAAAAAAAAAATAATAATAAAATTGTGAAGCTAAATATACTTGGGAGGCCGTTAATATACCTGGGCGGCCCGCCCAATTAAAGTCTATGTTTGGGAAACACTGGAACAGCGACTCTTAATCCTGGCCCTCGCAACCTCTAGAACTGCTTGTTTTGCATGTCTCTTGTTTAACCTGCCTGATTTAGATGACAAACTTACACAAACACTGCAAAAAATGTTTCTCTTACTTAGATTGTTTGTCTTGTTTCTAGTCCAATTTAGGGATGCTCTGTTTAGGATTTCTGCAGCCGATACTGAGTAACGATTTTTTTGTCATGGTGATCGACTGATACCGAATAACTATTCTGATGCTTCAAGCTTTGTAATGCCTTGAGCACATTTTCCCTCTAAATATGAACCTTACGGGAAGATCTCGCCTTACCTAAGAGAATAAATTAAAATATCTGCATATAATTCCTTAAACACATCCCTTATGACTATTTAGACGTGAACATGTTGGCCAGAAACAGCTTTACAGAAAACAATTCTTTTTTTTTTGTTTAGGCAATGTATAATATACACGAGTGCTTGTGTGTCTTCCTCTGCTTGTAAACTCAGAAACAAACACCTGCGATCGGGTCATGAGATCGGTCATATTGGCGAGTACCGATGAAGACATGAAATGTTATTATCGACCGATACCAATTTTCAGCCGATCGATTGGAGCATCCCTGGTCTAAATATTTAAACATTCTTAATTCAATAAACTTTTCAGGACAAGCAAAAATATGGTCTCGTTTTAAGAAACAATATGTCAAAATAGAGTGAGTTTTTCCTTAAAACAAGCTAAATAATCTGCTAGTAGGGTAAGCAAGTTAATCTTGTTATTCGTTTTGACATTAGATTAATTTGTTTACCCCACTGGCAGATTATTTTGCTTGTTTTGGATATTTGGACTAGAAACAAGACAAATAAGTAAGAAAAGCATTTTTTGCAGGGCAGAGAAATTCAAGAAGGCAATGCGTTGAGATTGACGTTCCCCAGATTGTGTTTACTTCTCTCTACTCCCTTCACATGGGAATTTGGCTGATCTTGAATTTTTTTCTTTCATTTTTTTGTGCTGTTACAGTAGTGTTTAGGATTATTTAACCATATTAATGTGATTGGCATCATGTCTACCACACCTTACTTTGCTTTCAAACAGAAATCATGGAAATATGTCCTATGATGTCCACTTCGCAGGGCACTTAAGATCAAAATGGAACAACCTCTGAAGCAGTAAGAGAAACATACAAAATATGCATAGCAGGGGGCCACAAAACCAGAATTGAGAACCGCTGGTGTAGAAAATAGCTTCCTTCCAAAGACCTAGTGAACTTGCTACTTCATTGTCAGTAGCCTTCTAAGGCAGCATCCTTACTGACAGAGAATCTCATGTAACTGATTTGGCAGGGACTTTTTTGATGGTCACTCACCACATAAATAGTGCTCAAAGCATAAGAGGCTAGGCATTCCAACTGGCATGAACAAGTGTTGAAATCCTGGCCAATATCACTAAATATATACATATATATATTTTGCAAATGAAAAGTCTATACTTTTAATACAATTTTATACTTTTTTGTCTTTTGCTCTGAATTGGTTATAATTATGATAAGGTTTGGTAATGATCATGTTTTTACAATATAATTATTCATCCTTTAAACAGGACATTAATATATAATGAATTCTACAGTATTGTGTGAATGTATGGGAGCATTCCTTGTTAATAATGTTTAGTAAATAAAACTTAAAGAGTTTTTTTAATTTAAAAGTAAATTGTGCTTAATTTGTTTTCAGAGAAACAGACAAGTTTTTTTATTTGTTGCATCCAAAGGTATGGAGCTAGATTAGACTCATTAATTTATGCAACAACAGCCAAATTCACATTAATGAAACCAAATTCTAATTTTCCACAGGAACCTGTTGAAATTGGTGAAGCAATGGTCAGAATGGTCTATGTATTGCAAAAAATACTTTTCTTACTTTTTTGTCTTGTTTTCTAGTCCAAATATCTAACAATTCTTAAATCAAGAAGCAAAAAATCTTCCAATGGGTTAAGCAAAATAACCTTGTTTTTTTGTTTTGACACATGATTTTTTTGTAGATGTGTGAACTTATACTGCTCTTGCGGTTCGGTTTAGTTACGATTATCATGCCATCAATTCGGTTCAATACAATATCAGTGCATCACGGTGCATTGATGATGCTTTCCATACACAGCTTTAAATTTTACATCACAGCACAATTCTTGTATTCAAATGTCAGATATATGTACTATTTGTAATTCTGCTCAAAGAAAACACTCTTGTTGGTGCCAATGGCGTAGTGGAAAGTGCAAACTCTCTTCTGGAATGTTAAAAACAAAACTCAAGTACATGCACAGAACAACATGAGCATTTAAAGCAAATAATCAAACGTAAATATTAATTTTTGAGCATTGTCAAGCAAGTTGTTAAACGCCTATGATTATTCAGAAAGGGCTGAAATTTGCTTAATGCATTGGCACTGCTCAGTGATGAGTAAAACTGATGTTAAACGGACATGGTGATTACACCTGATCCCTGATAGACATGGTGGAGAAAACCCGCTCTGCAGACATGCTCATGTCTAGACCCACAAGTATTGCTGTAACAGACAAGAGGACTGGAACGTCATGTCAGCAGGTCAGAGGGGCCACAGTGAGAGAGAGTTTACTTTAATTTTCTCCATAAATAGGGGCTTCTGCTGTAAGCTCAGAGTCAGTGAAAGACTGTCCAGCAAACACATGCAGTGAGTTTCTGCATTGTAATTATTCGCAGTCTCCTCCCTCGCCATAGTATTCTACCACGACACAGCGCATAGAAGATAATTGACTTCAGTATGTGATAACCAGTTTTGATCTATTACTAAACCAATAACAAATTGTCCGCCTCTGCATCGCAGTGCACTGAAGAAACAATTCATTTTGACACCCCTAATTTTTTGCTTACACCATTGGCAGGTTATTTTGCTTGTTTTAAGAGAAAAACTCACTTAATTTTGGCATATTATTTCTTAAAAGAAGACATTATGTTTTGCTTGTCCAAAATTGCTTCTTAATTTAAGAATATTTAGAAATTGGGACTAGAAGCAAAACACAAAATCAGTAAGAAAAGTATTTTTTGCAGTGTGTATACAAAGTTGCTCTGTTCTATTCATTTTATTCATCGTTTTCTATTACCTCAAATCAATTGAATTCATGCTAACTTGCTCAGAGGTAATATGCAATTAGCATGTAGCATAAGGCAGTTGAGTGAGCTGATGAGCAGAAAGAGTTATAATGTATCTGCTAACCGTATAAGATAGTGTGCGTGTGTGTGCCCATATTAGTCAGATGAAGACGGCCTACAGTATGTGTGTGCTCTGGCCTCTGTCACCATAAATCAGTAGAGCGTGTGGCTGTTGGTCGCAAACGTTTCCCTACCCACAATGATTCTTTTATCGACCACACCATCACAACACTCTTTTTAACTTCGTCAGCTCCCTTCATTAATAATCCACAAAATATAGTAAACACACTTGATTCCACCAGCAGTTACATAGTCCATGAAAAAAGCAAACAACCTGCTCTCACTCCTCAAAAACATGTCAAGAAGGTTCCAGCAAAGCAACACGTAGGAACAGTGTTGACTAACATCTTTATGAGCGTACCTTCATACAACAGAGACATGATACCTGATCCCTGATATATGAGCCTACTGCTCCTTGCCATAGGACCTGTACGTGTTTGTGTGTGTGTGTGTGTGTGTGTGTGCTGACTTCACTATCAATCAGCAGCAATAGAAAAATCTAGAAGCTTGTCTGGTTTAACAGATGAGTGCAAAATAAGGGTCTAGTTTTGACAGCCATCTTAAGTTAACACTTTCAGACTAACACACACATTCACCTGCCTGTTCTTACGTCTGGCTAATCTATCAAGTGTAGGTGATATTTTCATTTTAGTTTTTGCCTGTTACATTTTTTTCAATACGTTGATGTGTAATTAGCTGTCCTTGCTTGTAAAAGATAACACTGCTTCCAAATAAAGTCTCTTTAAGGCAAGTCATATTACTCTGCGGCCATCTTTGAAACTCCTCTGAATGGGGAAACACAGTCTGAATGGGGAAACATCAAATTCTGCAAGACTACTTGCAAGCTTATGATTACATTTCATGTTATGAATAACCAATAAAATTATCTGTCTAACTGTCTATTTAGTTTCATTTCTCACAAAATCTGCAGAAACTCACGTCTGGTCCAAGCCCCTTTTCTGGAGAATTGTCATTCTATAGTGATTGCTGATTGGCTCCTGTACTAGAATTCAAGGCTTCATTCACCATATTGACAGTTACACAAAAGTAAACGAGTGACATGTCTTCTATTTTCTGTAGTAGAGCTTAGAATGACCAAGAGGTGACACGCAATATAACTTTTTTTTTTCAACAGCAGCGCCCAGCAACAGCCCCAGATTCTGCCATTTTGGAGTTGCAGAATCTAGTCGGCTGTCCATTGGATCTTATTGCTGCCGCGATTGCAAGCAGCTGCTTTGTTTTTTATTTATTTATTTTAAAAGCTGAGATACAACCTGAAAGACGACAATGCAACACTTACTGTGACAATCATCAGCACTTTTAATAGTTTTTTTACAGACTTATAATATGTTGTAGTTCTATTGGAGTTTTTATTCCAAAATGGCCCCCGCACCATCTAGTGGCTGTTTCCCAAATTGCATTAGAGTTTCGCCTCTTGGCGATTCTATGCTCTTTGTATAGTCTTTGTTCCAGATTTCCAACATTTTGAAAGTAAACAAACTGCATTTTGTCACATGCAAAATAAAAACAGCTTACATTAATATTTTTGTCATTATATTATGCCGTATAAACACCATAGAACATTGATTTAGGGGATTTATTCTACTTTTACAATTTTGAAAGTAGTCTTATACTCAGAAAGTCAGTATTTTAAGGGATGCACTGGAATTAAAACTGTAGACCGAAAAAAAATTATGGATGCACTTTGGCTGAAAATAAATAATATATTTTTAAAGACTTTTTCAAATTTAACCTGTATGGCTTTAATTATACTGAATTCAAAAAACACGAGCCAATAAAAAACACATTTTGTTAGGAGTTTTATTATTTCAATGGATCCACAGCTCAAATCAGATCCGAATTTTCTACACTGAAATGAACGAAACTCCACGCAGCTCCCGGATTAATCTCCATTGGAAATGAATGACTTCCGGTCTGTCACTAGTCATTTGTCGTGTGCAGTGGAAAGGGGGCTTAACACTAATACTGAAACGGTTAAGGCATTTTTGTAATGACCAAAACAACAGTTCAAATGTTTTATCTCTTATAACAAAATCACAGGATCCTTTTTTAATGTGTATGCAGAAATTTGTTCGGTAAAAGTGTTTCCATCGTAGTTCATGCCCATCTTTTCCTATTAAATAAAAAGTTTATCCTACTCATCTAGGCACGTACGTTTTTATACGCACATTCAAAATGTGCAAACAGTAGGTAGATTCAAATATAGCTAATAAACGCACCATGAGGCGTCTTTTCACCAGTGTTGCCATGACAGCACTGTATCACTAATTCAAGCAGCAGGAATAATTACTAAATATAAATGTCTTGTCAATCCATTATTTAAATTTTTTTCTCTTTTGGACAAAACCAAAAAAGTACTCTACTGTATATACAGGTAAAGTCAGAATTATTAGCCCCCTTCAAATTTATTTCAAATTTTTAAATATTTTCCAAATGATGTTTAACAGAGCAAGGAGTTTTTTACATTATGTCTGATAATATTTTTTTCTTCTGGAAAAAGTCTTATTTTTTTATTTTGGCTAGAATAAAAGCAGTTTTTATTTATTTTTAAACACCATTTTAGGGACAAAATTATTAGCTCTTTTAATGCATTTTACCATTAAGATTTGTTTATTTTGACCATTGGAGTCACTCTGACTAGTATTTGATCAGTAGTTGTCAATGCAGAATAAAATTGAAATGGTTTAAATTGCAGATTTACAAACTCTGTGTGTGTGTGTGTGTGTGTGTGTGTGTGTGTGTGTGTGTGTGTGTGTGTGTGTGTGTGTGTGTGTGTGTGTGTGTGTGTGTGTGTGTGTGTGTGTGTGTGTGTGTGTGTGTTTATTTGTTATTTCTCTGTGTAGTCATAATAAAGTATATGAAATATAATTATGAAAAAAAAATTTTTTGTATATGCAAGAGTGTGAATGACAGGTGTTTTCTCCAAGTGAAGCTGTTTTGATGTCCACAGGCCACTAGGCCACTGTCATTAGGCCACTACCATCACACACATTCAGCCTTCTCATGTTTCCCCTGTCGATCCATCTCACGTTACCATGACAGCAGGGCATGTATGTCACCTTACAGGAGAGCAGTGATCAGTTAAGAGGATGTGGTAGAGAGAGCTAAACTGCGACAAAATAAAAAACAGTCCTTATTTTTCCATAGCATTTCCACATTCTTAATGGATATGGTATGGATACTTCACCCTAAAATGTTTTGAAATTTTCTCCCATTAATATCAATCCAATCTTGTTTTACTTTGTTTTTGTTTTGTTTTCTTCTCTCAGATGTCTCAAATGTATTGTTTTATAATGCTTTAGCTGTCAGCATACAGTATGTGTTCTGAAGCAAGTCAAACAGAGGTCTAGAATGGCATTAGGGTTAGTAAATGATAATAATAATAAAAAAAAAACATTCTGTCTAAAATGTCTTTTAAAAGACTTTGCACTGGACTTTTATGTTTTGATTGATTTTATTTGATAATCTGAACAAAAAATATACAAACAAGTCCAGTTAGACTAATTGATACATATTTTAAAAACTGTCAAAAAAAATACACAAAACAGCCACAGGCTTATTTTCATTGTGGTCCGCGATATTCTTAAGAAATGAATGAGCAAATCATAAATGAAGTGCAAACATCATCAGCTCAGCAACTCGGCACAACAAAATCCTCAACTTCAACTGTAAAACAACCACTTTTTAATTTCCCTTCTAAAAACACTCAATTTAAATCGCTTTAAAAATCGTGGGCAAAACATTCCAAGCAGCAGAGCTAGTACACAAAAAAGAATTTCTACCTGATTCACTCTTAAATCCACATGGATAAATATCCCTCCTACGCGCTCTTGTAGAATGACAGTGTACCTCACTAACTAAAACATAATAATTAAGAAAATATTTTGGGACCATTTTAATTTAAATCCTAAACACCATCCCTGATTTTTTTAATGCTTTTCTCAACTTTATTCTTTTCATCAAAGTAATGTAATACAATTCACATTTTAATAGAGGTAAAAAGATTTTATTTTAATTTAGTTTAGTTGAACTTTGAGCTGCGGATGACAATATCACAAGATGTCTGTTGGTTTTCTCTCATTACTTTGGTGTGATGTTATGTACATGCTACCTGTGCAAGCCAGTTGTTCTGGCTCCAAATTACGTTGTCTTATGTTTCACAGCAAAATGTTTCAAATATATGCATGCATCCTGAAGTGTTGCATACTTACTCACTGACAAGTATGTCTGGTTTTATATGTTGCTTTCATTTTTGTGGTCAACCTACGACCTGTACACTTTGCATTGTCTAACTAAACTCCTCGTACTGCTCTTGGTTTGTTCACAGAGCATCGAATCTGCCTCCCCTGGACTGGCCGTTGCCAAATCAGTATGGGCAGTATGAGCTAAAGATCGAGGTTCAACCTAAAGCACATCACAGAGCTCATTACGAGACCGAAGGCAGCCGAGGGGCCATCAAAGCCACGTCCGGGGGACACCCTATCATCAAGGTGAGTCTCCATGACGCCACTTTCTCTGGCTTCCTGTTTCCTGGCCAAATACAGTTGTTTTGCCACCAACTGTATGAGGGCTAAACTTGGTTTTGGATTGTCGAAACGAAGCCTCGTGGCCTTGATTTCTTAGTGCTCATTACGCTGGCCACAAAAGTGGGAACAGAGCACGATGCCATCCGTTCCCTCACAGGAAGCACAACTTGAGAGGCGAGACCACACAGAAAGCGTCTGCTGTGTGGCCTAGTAACCTCATTGCTGGTCATAAAATTCCTTTTACTGGATAGCAGCTAGTGAGCAAGTGTCTTTGTGTCATTTAGATAGAACAGCCATCTGACTTAATTTCCCTTTGCCTGCTTCTGTGCTACTTGTGCTAACGGTTCACCGGAGGGATCATGGGAGCGTGCTTCAGTACAGGTGATTGCATCATTTATGTAAAATGAAGCCCAATTAGTATCTCGCTGTATCATGTGGTAGTCCTGATCGGATAGGTAAACTTACCTGGCAATCTCCTGAGACTAGCTCTCCTAGAGAGAAGAAGAGAGAGAGAGAGAGCTTGTTGGTAAATATTTTATGGACTTGGAGGCAGTGGCCTCTTTTGTGGCATTCATAATGACGTACACACACACACACACACACACAACTCAGAAACTGAGATCATTGAATGTGTGAGGAAGGGAAGAAGGCCTTTACTCTGAATCATAACCTCTGGCTTTGAATGGTCCATTAAACAACCACAAATACAGGCCCGCATTTCTGCCACATCACACCTCAGTCTTGTGTCTTGGGGGCCTTTAATTGGCTGTCATTGCTTGTTTATGACCTTCGTTAGGTTACCTGCATGATCATCTTTCATTATCAGACCTCTCATCTCTTTTATACTGCAGGACTGCCTTTACTGTGTCCTTTGTTAGAGTTCTTCTCGGTTTGCTGGTGCCATTTTTACATTTCTTTGGGCTTTTTTTGGACAGTGCTGTGTTGAATTCATGGATGTCAAATGCAAAAACATCAAAACAAGTTTGTTTAATTGATAGTGATCCATCAATTATTATTTTCCATGGCTGGTTCAGTTTTTTTTTTGGGGTTTTTTTGCTAGAAATTTGGCCATTTTGATACTGATTTCCTATTTCTTTTCCTTGAAACTGGAAAAAGTTAGTATGTGAGCCAAATGTTTATTTGATTCGTCACAGACGAAATCTGCAGTGATTTCAGATTAGATCTCAAATAACTGCAACTGCACTTTAATCATGATCTACACAAAGGAGCAACATACATTAGTTTGTTAAGTGTATATGCATTAAATTGTATCATTTCAAAATAAGAAGTGAAAAATCAAAACAATCTGATTTTGTGAAAACATGCAACATTTGGGCTGCATGATTCTGCATAAGATGAGAATGAGATTTTATTTGCTTAAAATCAAGATCATGATTTTCTCATGATTCTGTAGATGTAAAATAAATTAATAAATTAATATGAGTAGGCTGTTATTATTGTTATTTCTCAAACGTATGATAAAACAACACTAATAATATTTGGCCTACAGTATGTGTAGGTCCACTGTTAAAATGCTCAGATTTGTATAGACTTGGAATGGTGGACTTGAACTAACTTTAAATTTGTCCTGGTCATTAATTCACAGTAAAGTGATTGCATCAGAATATAACTAGTCATAATTCTAATGTTGAATTATTATGTTTGAGACATGTGACGTTGCTTGTCATTTGTCATTGACAACATTATTAGACCATTTTTTTCACTGGTAAAATAAGACATAAAATAAATAATTTTCAGATTCCTTCTTGCATTATATTCATCGTAACAGTATATAGGCTAGAGTAGTTATACTGACACTATAAAACATTTATTTTCATGCACTCTGAGTTCACTACGAAAGAAAAACATTTCAAATTCTATGTTGCTGAGCAATGTATATAAAACAATGTGAAGACTTGTGCGCTCGCCTTTACGCTTCTCTCTTGACCTTGAAAATATAATTGGCTGAATCATAGAAAAGCTTAATTAGGATTGTGTGTAGGGTCAAATCGAGATTGCAATCTTTTTTCGATTAATCGTACAGCCCCATGCAACAAACAATACACAAACCTAAAACAGTAGACATGCTTGTTAAAAATGTAAGCTCATTCTCTTCCAGTGAGTAGAACTGCAGGAGTAACATTTTCATGGTTAAGGCAGTTAGCAAAACAGCTTCTTTCGCTGTGTTTAACATGCATAATACATAGATAAACTGAAAAGAAAATTTATGTTTAAATTAAGTTTAAATGTTTAAACTTTTATTATGACTGAATATATCACTCATAAATGTCTTAATAAATCACCACACAACAATATTTAGGATCTACCTACAATATTTCATACATCATTACAAAATGTGTGAGTTTTTCAAACAGCCTACTAACTTGAGCTGACTATACACATAAAATGAGATGAACAGATGCATGATTGTATTGAATGAAATTCATGTACATAAAGTTAGCTGTTTACTTTTACTTTAGCTTTAGACTTTGATATATAAACCTAAAGTGATCACTTGAATGAGCTGAAATGAAACCCGACCAAACACACAAATATGATCCTAAAATTCCATAATGAAGATAGTTAAAAAAAATAATTATTTTATAAAAATAATATATTAATCAAATATAAATAAAAAGACCTTTTTGAAGTACTTTCTTAATTATATAATTTAATGCATTATTTGGCAATATTTATATTGTATTTGACAATAATTTGATCAGTTTTCAAACGTGGCTGTTAAGATCTAAACAACTAAAACCTTAAGATTATTATGAAAGGCTTTATGATTAAATAAACAATTAATTCAAATTTTAATTCTTCTGTAAGCATTAGATTTAAAAAAATAATAATTCAATGTTTTTTGACATTTTGGCACATTTGTGGTGCAGACGTGAAACACATTATGAAGATCAGATAAGGACATCAGACAATCATGGGAAGCTTTACTTTGTAGTTTTTTCATTTTTTATTTATTTTAGTAGTGTTGTTCTTAATAATTATCGTTTGATACTTGTTTATACCTGTAAAAGTTGGAAATTACTTATTTTAATGACACTTTAAGTTATTGAAAGATGTTCAAGCGACAGATGTTTCAACATATGAGCATCATATACTAATGATTTACTTTTTAATCAGTCTGATTTCACAAAATTAATTACTAGCAATTAGCTTGCAGGTGTTTGTTTCAGCATTTTAAGACTAAAAAAGTGTATATTTGATATTCAGCCTGGAAAAAAAATTTACAAACAAAAGTTGAATTACAAACAATTCAGTTCTAACTTCAGTTCTAATGACTTTTATTGTATGCTGGGATTTATTTCCCAACCTTTCATGCTTAAACATCAACCACCTGTATATACATGATAAACTGTGATGTGCGAGTGAGCGTGCCTTTCTGACTATTTCGGAGTATTAATGACTAACTCTATAACATCAAAACCTCACTTCCCCTCACACTATGGCTGAGGATGCATAATTAGCTTGCATTAATGAAGTCTCTCAGTGGTAGATACACACACTGGTCCTACCACATGGAAGGGCAATGCTAGACAGAAACATCTTAGTATCTTCTGGAAATACTTCAATAAATTCAAGCCACTGGTATCTATACAGATATGCATCTGTAAACTCCGTAACCTCTCTGAAAACTGCTGCAGACATTTGATCTGAATGGCAGCAGGGAGATCAGCTGACCAGCCTATGCATCTGCTTGCGTTTGTGTTTTTGTGTGCTCACTAAAAAGTGCTGTGTCATTGTTTTTCTTTTTCCATTTTTTTAAATCATGGGTTAAAACAATTGCTATAGTTATTCAGAATTAAACTGTTGTATTCCTAATTATAGTATTTATTCATTTATTTATTTATTTATTTATTTTGTCAAAGGGATAGTTCACACAAAAATGATGGTTACAGGTTTCCAGCAGCAAAGTCTAGATGGGATACAGCTGAGGATATTCACATCAATGTAGCCAAGTTTTTGTGACACTATACATCAATAATTTTAATTTTACATTACTTTGAGGGTTGGGTTTACAGTTGGCATTAATAAAGTACAATTTAATGAGAAATTTTATGAATAATATGAATAATACTAAAATATGTATAATTACTGTTTTCATGTTACTGTGATGGTTGGGTTCAGGGTGAGGTTAAACGTTAACAAAATACAATGAACGGGTAATTTCCGCAGCTCTATCCCTTCTAGCAACAACCATTTTTAGCATTCAGTATAACTACTTTTGGGTTAACAGAACAAGAAAATTCTCAAAATAGTTTAAAATAATTTGAGGGCGAGTAAATGATGGCAGAATTCATTTTTTACTGTTAGATATCCTGTTAAGGTATTCTGTTGGTTTAATTAGTGCATTCTTTCATAACCTGGCACATATTAGTATATTTTGTTAAGGTTGCTATTTGTTTGTATAAGTGAAAACAGCAGTCTGTCTGAGACTGGCTGAATGATGAGGCAGTCTTGGCCTGCCTGATAATGAGCTCTGAAGTAGTTCTCTTGTGGTGAGAAAGCTTAACAACCCAACAGATCAATGAATCTGGGTTTATCATGGTGTATATTGAGATATTTTCTACCTTTCTTAAAAATATCTGTGTTAATTTTGCTAAAGCATCTCAGAAGAAATCCTAGGTTAATCATGAGCAAAAAAGGAAGTGAAATGTGGAAGTACAACTGTCCAAAACATAAAAATTTCAGGAAATGCCTTGATTGTTTAGAATTCAATAATAATATAACTACTGCTCAAGAAGCTTCATAATTGCTGCCTATATTGTATTGCTTCTGGGCTCAATTTCATTTTAACTCATTAACATTAGCTTACTTGATAAATATTCAATTGCTTCCAGCGACACAGTGGCTTAGTGGTTAGCACAATTGTCTCACAGCAAGAAGGTCGCTGGTTCAAGTCCTGGCTGGGTCAGTTGACATTTCTATGTGGAGTTTGCATGTTCTCC